GTTTACTAAGTTTACGAGTATGATAGCGATAACAACAGACTACGAAAATTACATCTACCAAGTTTCTCTTTAAGGTTTATGAACGTTCATTTTTCCCTACTAAAAACATGCACCTGATACTGATAGCAAAATAGATTAACAACAGATCTAGAAAAGTGAATTTAGAGCCAGGTTGCAGGGCATAACCGAAGAAAAGCAAGCAAAAATAGCACAGTCTAATCAAAATAAACCGTCAAGATTCACTGAGACTTTTATCTGCAAAAACTAAGCATATTTGCAAATTTGGTTTAAATCCATCCTGCTCCAACACCAGAATTTAATTACAATTCTTCAAACTACACTATTTGGTTGACAACACGTCAAGATTTGTAAACGTTGGATTGCATTTAAGAACGGAAAAACGTTCTTTACGATATAAGATGACAGAGAAAAAAGGATCAGTGTGAAACTTGAAGTCGAACTTGAGTGGAAGGCTTCAAAACGGTAAATGTTTATGCTTTCCTACAGAATACTGAATCGGTTAATTCATCCGAGCTGTCAGCTTTAGAAAAAAGATAAAGTCCATCGTTAACCGTGCAATATATATATATWTTTTTTCAATAATAAAAATCAGTAATTATAAGGAATACTAAAAGAACTTTCTTTCTGTGAGTTTTGGCGGGACTAATTTGGAGTCCAAATGAATGATAGGTTCGCGCTTCGTGCTAAATAATGTTGAATTCGCTTTGATTGGCACCAAAAACTCAGGAAACCAACACTGCAGTACTTRCTTGTTTGCTCAAAGCGAACGCGCTAATGGAATAACCTTTTTATGAATCCAATGTCAAAAACCATTTCTGACGAGTTTTGCATGGGTTCCTCTGGGTACATAACAGAGAATTAAGAACTGAATGCTGTGCTACAATTTACACAAGGTTAGTTTTTTTGAGCAATCGTTTTTATGTGATTCAATTTAAGGAAAAATAAACGTTTTGACCAAGAACAATTACATACCGAATGCGAAGATAGGTAACCTTAGAGCTCAAAAACTAAAACAAGTGTTGATATACCATTACCACAATAGCGGAGCCGTGTTTTTACCAAGTGAAATAAATCGAAAAGTCATATCAACTTTGGATAACTTTTACTTTGTTAAAAAGGGAGAAACTGAAGAAAAGCTAAAATGACATAGAAATTTAAATTTTAATGAGAAAAAAAAAAAAAAGGATTATGATAAAGCATCACTAACAATTAATTAAAAGAAAGACTTAAGTTTATCCTTTTTATTTTTTTGCGATAACTGTTTACATATCCCCATAGTGTTGCCTAGATATTGTGAACTTTAGAAAAACTTCCTTCAACAACAACAACAAAAAAACAATATTGAATGGATGGGATGGACTAGATGTTAAAAAGATAAAAACGATATGTTGCATATACTGTATCTTCAATATAATTCAAGAAACCACAACAAATACTCAAGGGTTTGAAACTAAGAGGCTTATAACTTTGATTTTAATTTTTCCCCGAATTTTTGGTGAACCCACGCTTTAGTCACTGTGGAGTTTAAGAAAAAGATACGAATAAAAACAAAGTCATGCGGAAGACTTGCATTAAAAGTTCTAAGGAAGAACGAGCCGCTTATAATTCGGCGTAGCCAAAAAAATTATATGTCATTAAGGAAGCATAAATGTGAACGACTGAAAATTAAGTCACCGTAGAGTTTAAGATAAACATACGAATACAAACAAAAACATGCAGACTTGGACTAAGAGATTCTAAGGAAGAACGAGTCACTAATAATTCGGAGTAACCAAAATATTTTGTTATAAGCATAAATGTGAATGCATGAAAATTAAGTCACTGTAGAGTTTAAGATAAAGACA